CTCCCCTCCCCTCCCCCACAGTGGCCTTGGCCCCCCGCCCACTCCGGCTGGCCCAGAGGAAACAGGGGCTGCCCACGCTGTTCAGCAAGGCCTTTCCTTTTCTTCTTTTTAAAAACATTTTTCAGCCCGGCCGGGCGTGGCTCAGCGGTTGAGCGTCGACCTAGGATCCAAGTGATCGGGGTTCGATTCCCGGTCAGGGCACAGGCCCGGGTTGCGGGCTCGATCAATGACTCTCTCATCAGGGATGTTTCTCTCTCTCTCTCTCCCTCTCCTTTCCTCTCTCTGAAATCAACAAAGATATATTTTAGAAAAACACACAGAAAACATTTTTCAGCCCAGCCAGCATGGCTCAGCAGTTGAGGGTCGAGTTTTGATTCCCGGTCAGAGCACAGGCCGGGGTTCGGGGGCGCGCAGGAGGCAGCCAATCAATGACTCTCATCATTGATGTTTCTCTCTTTCTCTCCCTTCCTCTCTCCGAAATCAATAAAAACATATTTTTAAAAAAGAGAGAAACATGCTCTTTATGTGTGGAATGCTGCGTCTCCAAAATGCCACCAGTGACTTGCTGCTCAAGCTACGTGGGCTCACCTCCCTTGAGGGTCTTAGAGGGGCCCGAGGGGTGGGCAGGCAAGGCTGGGTGTGCAGGGCTTTGGGGTCTGGACTCAGCAGGTCTTTGGGAGGCTGGAGTAGAGCTGGGCCAATTCCAGACAATTTGCTCAGGCTGGTGGGCACCTCAGGGTCGGAAGTGAGTTTAGTCACTGGGCCGGTTGAGCTCTCTACCCACAGGCCTTGGGCCACTTTGAGGACGGTCCGGAAACCAGAGGGCATTGGCAACCCTTCTTCCTGGAGTGTTTCCTGGTCCGCGGTCAGCGGCCAGCGGCCCGCTGTGGCGTAGGTGGCTTTGTGCAATGGCCTGTCACCGTTCTTGTAAAAGGAATGAGTGAATGTGTTTAAATGTTTGCTTTTGCAGCCGGCTGGTGTGGCCCAGTGGTGGAGCGTCGACCTAGGACCCAGGAGGAGGTGACGGGTTCAATTCCCGGTCAGGGCACAGGCCTGGGTCGCAGGCTCGATCCCCAATGGGGGCATGCAGGAGGCAATGACTCTCTCATCATTGCTGTTTGTCTCCCCCTCTCTCTGAAATCTATAAAACATATTTTATAAGCAATGTCAAATATTAGGAACAACATACATTCTATAAGAACTCGTGCACACGAAAGCCTTTGAGGAGTCATTTAGGTGCAGGGAAAGGATCCCAAAGGGGGTGAATAGCTAAGTCAGGAAGGGGAGAGAAGGAAAAGGGTCAGGACAGGTCTGTAAACAACCAAACACTCACCCTCCAACCTACAAAACCGAGCTCTGGGACTCCTGCCGACTCCCCAAAAGCACCTGCTGCTCCAAATTTGGGGTTTATCCTTCCGACGAGCCCCTTCACGTTTTACAACCTGTGTGTTTCTCCCCAGGTGCTACTCCCAGCTGCCATGTGTGTCTCTAAACAGGACATTTTATTTCTTTATTTATGTTTAATCCCCACCCGAGGATATTGTTTCCGTTGCTTTTCAAAGAGAGTGGAAGGGAGAGAGAGAGAGAGAAACATCGATGTGAGAGAGACACATCAGTTGCTTGCCTCCCGCACGTGCCTGTCCAGGGGCTGGGGATCGAGCCCACAGCCGAGGTACCTGCCCTTGCCTGGATTCGAACACAGGACCCTTCAGTCCTTGGGCTGGTGCTCTAACCACTGGGCCACACGGGCCAGGGCTGTCCTTCCTTTCTAAGGCTGAGTGAGACTCTATTGTGTGGGCCACAACTCTGCACCCCATTTCAATGTGTGTGGGTCTCCCCCACACCAAGTAATTCTGTGACGCCAGCTGGGTTTCCTACAATCCACCTCAACTCTGACACTGTCGGCCGACCGCGAAACAGCATCGGATCCCGCAGGTTAGGGGCCTGGTACCCGATACTGCCCCCCACCCCCACCCCCAGATGCCAATCGCAAGCCCAGGTTGTGATTGTGCTTCTGACCAACCAGCTATAAATTGGAGGTTCCCGTGACCCCCTCCTCAGTTGGATTAATTTGCTAGAACAGCTCACGGAACTCGGGAATCCAGTCTACTTACTAGATGACTGATTTGTTATTATTTACTGGAAAGGACACCTCCAACCCTGGCCGGTTTGTCTCAGTGGTTAGAGCGCCGGTCAGAGGACTGAAGGGTCCCAGGTTTGATTTTGGCCAAGGGCATGTA